TCCAAATCCGATAACCTCACAAGACTGATACAAATTCGGTCCACCATGCATATCGGTTTGGGGAGGTTCAACAGTATGCAGATTCTCGAATCTGGTCAAACTGTTCTAATATACGAATGCAGATCAATACGTATGGCACTGAACAGTTTGCATCGCTAATTATTTATTTGAAAATTTCATGTGGAATAACATTTTATCAGAAATTACGGAGAATTTTGTACTGTATTGGAAGAAATCAAATGCAATACTGTATTATAAAAAATTAATAACATTGAAATCTATCCTTTTATACTTTTCGGTCATTACTATAACCTCATTTATGCTTAAACAAAAAAATAGATATATATAACAATATTTTTGATTCGATGATAATATAATAATTTTTGAAGTAAAATAAAATTTTATTGTAATTACAAAAATTTTATGAGCCTTTAAAAAAAAACCAAATTTATTGATAAAACTTATAGTGCTATACTATGTAAGTGAACAGCATTTAATACAGTTCTAAACCATTGTGTATAAACTACTGGTAAATTAACCAATCCTCTAAAAACAAGTATATAACCTGGAACTGCTAATACAATTACAAATAACCATATAAAAACATATATCATAATTGGAAATCGCACAATCACTTTTCCATGACTATTTAATCTATTTTTTAATTCTTCTACTGATATTTGATACTTATTAGCCATTTTACGAAAAGTATCCTCATTAGAACGATTTCTAACCAATTTTAGAATATCTTTCTTATTCATTCCCATATTATCTGCATATCTCTCTAACATAGGATAACCAAGAAATAGTGACATATAAGTTTCTATTCCTTGAAAGAAAATACGATGGCAACATAAAATAAATATCAATATATTGCTGATGAATAAAATAATTATGAGGCCACGTGAATAATTAGTACAATTAGAATATATCCATTCCTCAATAATAAATACAATAAAAGAATGTAATGTATTGAAAAAAAATGTCAATTCAGGCCAAAAAGGATTTGGTAAACTTAATAAATTTACTATAATCCTTATAAATAATAATAATGATATGCCCCAACTCTGTAGTGAATTATTTGAGTTCTTACATCGATCAATATCATCGTTAACTCCAATACACATTCCAACGAGTCCAATTAAACTTATCAAAGGAACCACTATTGCTAAAATTATTGATAACTTTCCGTTATTTTTATACCATCCATTTCGTCCAGAATAGGTAGAGTATAAACCTAAGACAATACTAACACTCGTACTAATTACTACACTACCAGCCCAACTGGCTATTTTGTCGTCTGACATAGGTTCAACAATTTTCCTGGCACTCGGGGGGTTTTTTTTTTTTTTTGCTCGACTAAATAAATGGCGTTAATTACTCATAAGCTTATTTTCAAAGTGTCTTCTTTTAATGTTAGTGTTTTAAACTTTAAATTTTAGATTTTAAAAGAAATGAATATAGTTGAGTTTTTTCAATAATTTTCTTAATAATAATAAAGGTATGTTTTATAAATCGGTTTGTTAGTGCGAAGAAATATATTTTTAATTCCATATTAATCAGAAACTATATAAATAACGGTTGAATTTTTCTGATCAGCTAAGCATAATGTAGTAAATAAAGTCAATCGTTAGCGCAATGATTTTCACATACAAAAATGACAATATAGATTGTATATCTAGTATATACATTTTAACATACAAGGATGTTCATAAAATTATTGAATTTTGCGGATCGCAGCTTACATGTACAATCATTTGATTGTCTGTGATATTCTTAATGAAAAATTCAATACAAATAAAATATTTTTATGACTTCTTTATATCCATATTCTCAAAAATAATACCTCTGCATATTCTAAACAACTTCGCGCAATCGGGTAACAATCAGATGATTGTATGTGTGGGCTGCATTCTGATCAAAGATACATACGAATCACACAAAATCAGATCACTATCAATACGAATCGATCTACGTTCTGAAAGTTTGTAATAGTGATTAAGCCAACTGGGGCAGCCGCAACTAAGCCGGCTTAGCCGACCAAGCCAGCAGATGTAATATAATCGGAGGCTAAATATCGTATGATTTATGAAATAAAAGGATTCCAATAAATTCCGAAAAGGAAAATGAACGTAAATAAAGATCGAGTTAAATCTTTAGAAAGCTTACCAAAAAATTCCGAAAGGGTTATTATTCAGCTGTTAGCTGGCTGAACCAGTCGATTAAAACATGTGGCTTAATTCATTAGATTGTAAATCTACTATTCGAATATGCGGATCACCGATCAACTATTCAATCTAAATTTTTCAATCATCCGGACTAACGTACGTACGCACAGGTACAAGAATGTGTAGGTTTTACGTGATCACTAAAAATTTTTTTTTCTTTTTTGTCATTCATTTTTTTTTATTAAATTTTTATTTAGCATAAATTTTTATGTAATCAAAAAAACTTGTAATACGTATTTACGTATAATAAATTTTTACCGATTTACCGATTGCAAAGTAACGTATGCTTATTTTTGAATTTATAATTTGACACACGCCAATTTCGAAGTGGAATAAATTGAAAAATGACGAACAATTATACTTGTGTTGAGCAATTCATGGTAGACTAGCTGGTTAACGTCAATAATTAGTCTTCAGAGAAAATATTTAAATTAAACATGTATGCCTCAGAATATTTGAATAATCTCTTGACAGACTTTAATACAATTAAAATTATGCTGTGTTATAATTGGCTTGTTTAATGCTCAGAGGATGGTTAGCTGAAATGGAGAATGGCATTAACTGTCTATTCAATTTTGAATGCTTTAACTTGTAACATATAGACAAAAATTTTGATGGAACTTTATGATTATGTGAACCATTTCGATGTTGATCCTCTTGCTTTATAAGATGTTAAGGAAATGCCCAAAATTCGCACATAAGACACCCAAATGGAATGTTAAATTTACGTTGCAAAATATGAATCTTGATTCAAAAAAATGATTTACTACTTATTGTATTTTACATATTGGACTGGGGTTGGACGGTGATAGGGTTGATATTAAAATAAAAGAATTCTTAGAAATTTATAAATAGTCAAAGGATTGCCGATAGTCGGCTGAAACATTTAAATCACGTGTACATGAGCAAATAAATTAACAAGCGAGAAATCATAATCAGATTACAAAGCTTAAACAACTCAAAAAGTTAAACCAAGTAGGGTAGTATAACGGCAAATCGAATTTATTAAGTAAAACTGCTCGATACGTAAGTATCGAAACAGTTTGCCTCGAATCATCACAGTCACATTGTTCGATAGAATTATCTATCATTTGATCGACCAAGAATATTGCGTAGAATGTTCGATAAGCAGGAGAAAAACCCAGACGTGTTTTCATAGAAGATGCCCAAAATGAGAAAATATTTGCGATTCTATTTTTAATCTTACTAATGGGTATTTAAAGAAACAAAAAATCCATCCGTAAGAATTTGTTAATCTGTTATACGTCGCATTGGAATTTATGTTAATTTTGAATTAAAGTCATTTTGGAATCATAATTCGACATATGGGACCCCCTACAGCAAAAAGAGGGGATGGGCCAAAAAAATTTTTTTTAAAAAAATTCAATATCTTGAGAAATTAGATTGATTAGAATA